CTCTCCGAAAAGGATTGTCTGCATGATCCTGTTCACGAAGGCCTGCATGTCCCACACGTCAACCCCAATCGGCGCACGAGCTATTCGAGACGTGTCAGCAGGTAGGTAATAATGGAGAGCAATAACAAGTCCGGAAATTCACCCATCGCTATTGTAGAACACATCGCTCTTCAAGTTAGTCAGACACTACCCCCACAGGCGGCTGGTCCCTGGTGCCACGCTTCCTTCACCACCTCATCCACGATGAAACTGTTTGTACTCGGACACTATCTACATACTCCCACCGTCGCTTTTTGCGACTTCTCCAATGCCGACAAGAACTTGAATCGGAAATCCAACAGTGTCGCACCAGACATCGCGGTTTGGCGGAGGTGGAAACCGGATCTGCTTAGACTCCGTTGTCTTGAACTCGCCGTCCACCATTCAGATTCGAGCGGACAAGATCCGCCACCGAAATAGCGACAACCCGGGTATGAATGGTGGGAATGGTAACTGGTCTTACGACGGGCCAACACGAATCGGTATCGCGCTCTCTAGGAGAAGCTCCGCTGGACGATTTGGTCGACACGAAGAGCGTGTTTTGGCTCCAGCCATGAATTCCGACATCATATCGATGACAGATCTCCTATGACTCTTCAAACCCTTCCGTTCTTCAAAGGGCATCTTCCACCACCCCCATTCGTCACGGTCTCGGAGCCAGCCATTATCTTCCAAGACGAGCAATACGACACTCACAAAAACCCGCTCGGGCCCCCATTCCACGTCTCATTCGCATTTTCAGGTCATACCGTTCCTTTACCTCTGCCTCGGTCATCGCGCATGCTTGCTAATGCAGCTATATCACCAAGCACTTGTCCGTTCTTCAAGGTCAATACTCATACTCCCTCGATGTTATGCATCCCCCGCGCTTACCACTCTCGAAACTTTCGGTACTATTCGAGTTCAAGTCTATACAGTATCGTGCAATGCAGAAATAAGTATAGGAATAGCAAACTATTTTGGAGCAATACGAACTGCCAGTGTGTGTCTCACCACATCGCTTTCATACCTGAAATTTCCTTGAAATTCTCCCATTCCGTTGCGGCCTCTGATGTCGTCGTGTCCAGAGCAACACTATCACCACCCGGAATACTCGTTACAAGCGCTCTCCATCTATCAACCCCTTCCTGTGTTTGCCGTCTGAGCTTGATGCGATGGAGTGCGGGCAACGAGGAGAGTATATTCCTCCAAAGAAGAGTTTCCTCCTCTGAGAACGGGGTCCAATTGTCCAAGTACATCGTCCCAACCGAGCGCCAGACCCGATTTAGTGTCCTTTTCAAGTTGCCGTTTGCGATGTTGTCGTCCGAGTCCCCAGTCCCACTGGCATGATGAGATGGGAGAATCGATGAAAAGGCTGTCAGTGCCAGGGAATATTCATTGGCATGCCAGGCGATAATCAGCTCGCGATGATTCAGTGCACTGTCGGCGTCCGGAGAAGAGAAACGGAAGCTGACATCGACATTTTTGCCACCGAGGCCCGCACCAGAGGCAAACCGTCCACCGTGGAAGCGGAGGTGTGTTCCAGCCGCTGGAGCGGAGAAGTGTGACCTGAGGACAATATCAAGGCCGCTACCGACTGAGTCAGGAAGATCCCAGTACTCGATGCTGCAGCGAACAAGCTTGGGGAGGGTAAGCAGGGGAAGGAGCTCGACCGCGACGGGATTCACAGCAGTGTGGCTAGCACAGATCGCAAGGTAGCGGAGATGAGGCAGGACTATGGGTTGCTCTGGAAGGACATCATGATCATCCCAGTAGGGTTTTGACAACCTGCTGATAGTCAGCGTCTCGAGCTGGGTAGTGGCGGACAGAGCGTGGAAAAGCGCAGATTCTAGGGAACAATCGAGGATCAAATTGCGCAGTCTCGGGCCAGTATCATAGAGAAAAGACAGCGGGGAGTCAAGCTCCAAAAACTGGAGATGGGGGTACAGCGGTTCTCTTTCGCTGCCCGTCAGCGTTGAGTAGGTCTCATTGGTTATTTGCGTTATCGACATCTTCGCTAGGACGGGGAACCTGCCGCGAAGCGCTCGCGTTAAGGATTCGTCTGGAAAGTGGCCATAAAGAAAGACCTCCTGTATGCGCTTTGGTGCAAACTCCAACACGGCGGCGATTCGCTGGGGGATGGTTATTTGTCGCCGAGAAATGATGAAATGGCTCAAATGACAGTCCACAACGAGCGGGCTGGATTTAGAGCGGCGCAGGCAAGTTTGGGCACCCATGTCGGCGTGCAAAAGTTGACTTTAGACCAGAGTAGTGGCATTCCGAGCGCAATTTGGCGCCAGTAAACACAGACCTCGCTGCATTCGAAGAACGAATACTCCAGCGGCTGAACTGCTTTCACGCAAACCTCCATAAAGATGTCGACCAGGAGTTCCGCGGGGAGCACGTGAATTGGCGCCTGAGATTGGTCTCTGCCATATCGATTGAGCATCTTGGTGTCGTGAATATCGTCTTCCAGAGACGCATGCAGCATAGACAGTGTGAGTTCTGGCTCCGGGACATGGGCCGGAGCTTTCAGGTCCTTTGGTGAGAGTATCACACGTAAACCTTGAATAATAGTGAGTTCCTGGTCTCGAGAGGCTAGTTACATACTCTTCTTAACCTTCTTCAAGGCCTTCATGGTGTTTGTTGCAAGACAAGTCAAGACCGGCGCCAACGACCGAAAAAGGAAATGACCTTCAGCCTCCGAAAAACGACGGCTACATATATCTAAACGGCATATGACTGACAGAGCGATGCTACAAGGATACAGGAGAGGAAGCGAATTTCTAAGCAAACAAAGGAGAAAGAAACGCGTATCGTATGCCTGCATTTGTGACGCTTTGTATCAATCGGCCTTCATGAATGCTATTTAAGCATAGCGAGCTCGATTCCTCATCTGGCTCCAACTCCTCTGAGCGGCGTTTGACTGGGCCAGCGCCTGCTGGAATCTTAATGACAGGAGGCTCTTTTGTGCGAGCTCGCTTGGGAGTAGTCGTAGCTTCCTCAAAAGAGCATTTGTGCGAGACAGAGCGGAGCATCAGCCGCGGCTTCGTTTGCGCAGTCTTCATACTCGTAGTCCGTGAATGAATTCAGACTGGACCACTCCTCGTCCTGCGAAAGCTCTGCCACATACTGCAACGCCTCGTCCCACAATGGTGCATCGCGATCCAGGAACTGTCTTCTTCCGGGATTTGGACCACGAAAGGACCGTTTTCGGTGTCGTTATTAGCATGCTCGCGGTCGGTCCATTCACGTCGTTCTTTGGCGGTAACGTTGTCAGAAGTAGGGGCCGTGACTTCCTGAGTAGTCTGAGCAATAAGCGCATCAGCCGCGCGGGCCTGCTCTTGAGCAGCGCGAACACAAATCGTGCAACGGCAATGATAGAGAGGAGCGCAGGCTTCTCGCCAGACCTGTGTTAATGTCAACAATGTCAGGTTGAAAACGAAGAGCACATACAGATTGCAAAATGTCCTGGCTATACGGCGGAAGATGCTCAATTGTCTGTGGCACGTAAGGAATTGAGTGCAAAAGCTTGGACGGGTTCCGGACCGGGTCGACAGCGATAGTCATTGACGACTTTTCCAAGTCTGTCGTCGCCAATGTAGATGTCGATAGCGTTGGACTCCTGTCTTCGAGTCCTTCTGCCTCTGCTCGCAGATTTCGTCTCCGTTCGCTCCAATCGACCCCGTCAAACTATGCCCCCTCTTCCTCCCTCAACTCCTTAATCACATCCTCCAGCGTTATACGGGTAGCGCGAATCGCAGGGTCTGATATAACCTTCTTCTCGTTTTCAGCCTCCGCTTCACATGCATCCAAAGCACATTCCATAACAAGCCTTCGAACGACATTCTTCATCGGCGGGAGGAGCAGTGTGCGGAGTTGGCGGACATGAGCGGCATGGGCAAGGTCCGCAAGAACAAGATTGGGATGGACCGGGTAGGCCAGGATGTGTCTCCTCGAGTGTAGAAAAATTATTCGATGAAGATTCAGGAGTTATCGACTATGGTACTGAATGAGTTGCGCGAATACCGGGTTCTGTTAAGGAAGGAGGTTAATCATACTGCTCGATTCCAGCGAGAAAACTTGACACACCTGTCCTTTTCACTCGGACGGGGTCGTCAACATCGATAGGCGTCGCCCAGCTCCCATCCAGTATTCTCCCTCTGACCCAATCGCCCAGAGCAAGATCTATGACATTCAATTCTACCTCTCACTCCAAATCGATATCGGAAAAGTCGTCGCCCTCAGCGAAAGCGACCTGTCGGAGTGGAGGAGTTAGCCCATGCATAGGCAGCAAACACAGCGGCGGTAGGGAAGAATGTCTGAATCTGTGAAAGGGAGTTGCCGGCAACAAGAGCCTCGTCGAGAGGGTGAACAACGTTGAGGGAGGTCATGAAATTAGTCGGAAAATAGCTAAGTGCCTGTCAGCAACGCGAAAAAAGGCTACAAGCGATTTTCGGCTCACGAAAGAAAAGTCGATCCCAATAGGCAAGTAGCGACGACACTGAATACGACCCATATGCCACGTTCAAGATTCGTGCTCGCATGCGTGGCAGAAGGTTAAGGTGACCCGCTGTAGACGCTGGAAGACGACAAGAAGGTAGTTTGCTGCGATATGACAGATATGCCGCTACAGCAAAGGTCTATGGTTCCACCAAGAGAAGCGATCCTGAGGAGCGATCCTTAGAGTTGGTAAGCATGAAGATAGCCACAAGGATAACGAGGTCGACGCACATATATCATGGGTGGCCCGAAGTTTGCTACCAGGAAATATGTCCATCCCTCCAGCCGAATAGTGTTGACGGGGTTGTGCCCGCGACCGCCAGGCCCTTCTCCATCCCTTCAGCCTCTGCAGTAGATGCGTCGTGAGCAACAGCACGCAGTTGTCCGCCGTCGGCGCATCTCGTTGCAGATAGGTTGCGGAGTAAAGGAAAGACAACCGAATAACGATGGTGGTGGTTGCGCAAGAGCCAGTAGCTGGCTCAGAGCTTTGAAGTAAGAGATTTGCTTTGGCTAAAGACAGTATTTAAGGTCGAGGGACGTGCTACGATGAAGTAGGGAGCATACACACTTTCGAGCCTGAAGTCTTGACTCGCGCTTCAGCCCTCCTCCGCCTGGACGCTGTAGCACACCCTTCCTATCCCTATGTGAGACCCACTGCAGCTCTGGGTGGTGTTCTTGTCGTCAGCAGTAAAGTTGCCACAGTTATCGGGATTGGTGTTCTTGGGGTCCTGGTCGAATACATCGATGCTGGCTATAACTAACTCAGAAAAGCTTGAGCTGAATGATAGAGTGGCGTGAATAGGTCGTTAGGATGCTACCACAAGGGTGCTGAGGAGTCTGCAGGCTGGGAACGCTCCAGGTGGTCGTCGTGGTCGAGAAGAAAATTTGTCAGCATCACATGACACATCTGGGCCCAAAGCAAGGCGCGTCGCGACTAGCTAGTACTCACCTTACGCTCCCAGCTTCGAACGTTATGTTTGTGATTTGCAGGCATTTATTACTTGGGCCTTTCACGCCAGATATGTGCCCCCCAATACGGTGTCCACCTGGAAAAAATACGAACCCTCGATTTTAGATTTATGCTCCCACTATAAGTAGCCTTGGTTATAATTCATTACTTCTAGCGAGCTCCATCACCACCGCATGCAGCCCCATTTCCTCCTCAAGCTACGAAGAACCCATATCAGCCTTGGTTAAGCCACAAAACAACAACCTACCTCTCTCCGCCTGACCCGGTCCTCTCTTCCCGCATCCCCGCCAAACACCCGGTCCATATCTTCGAGCGTCACGCCCGCTGTTTCCGGCACTGTATAGGTGGCCCACAGATAGGCCACGAAGCACGCTGTGGCGAATGTGAGGAACGTCCCGCTAGAGAAGTTGTCATTGGACGGTGATGTCGGCAGAAAAAGGGCATACGCAGGTGAGTATTCCATAATAATTGGTGTTACGAGCCCGATGAAGACTACAGCTGGTCAAGAGACGCAAAACAGTAGACGGAATGACGGACAGTTGTTGCTCCAGTTGGAGGCAGTCGATAGAGCCACGCCACGGCCGCGCATCGACAACGGGAAGACCTCGCTCGGGAGGACCCATCCAATGGGTCCAAACGAGACGCCATATGCAAAGGTAAATGTATAGATTGCACTGTGGAAGTTTTCAGAGGGGCTGAGGCGGAAACGAAAGCAAGACATACGCAACAGCGGTCCATGCGGCCATTGCATGCGAGCTCCAATCCGATTGGAATTGCATTACCTAGTCAGCAGTCAGCATTATATAAACGAAAGGAAGGTAAGTACTGACGAGGACGGCAATGATGAGATGAGAGGCCGCCATAAACGAGCTACCACCTTTTTCGCGTTAACAGCACGGATAGTAGACGATGCAAAAGTAACCTCTTAACAAAGGCTTGCGTCCTGATTGCAGGGTCAACAGAATATATCAACGGAGCAGAAGAACCAATTACCAACTCGGTCGATATAGATGACAGCGGGTCCCACAGCAATGAACTGGACAATTCCAATTCCCCCAGAAACAATCAGCGAGATAGTTTCGCCTTTAAGCCCGATACTCTTCACAAGGGTAGGACCGTAATAGAGTAATGCATTGATTCCGCTCCATTCTAAGAGTCATATCAGTCAAGAAACACTGGATAAACTATAACTTGCGTTGGAAGAACATCATAAGAACCCCCACCAGCGTGCGTGGGCGGTATTTCTTGGAGAATAAGTGCCGCCAAGCTGAAAGCTCGCTCTGGGTACCGGGTTTGGGTGAGTCCGAGTCGGATTGAGAAATCAATGCTGCTTCAACACGCATTTCGAGAAGCTCGATCTAGAGCCAGGTTAGCGACAGACCACGAGAAGCAAAATAAAACCTTTGTGAGCGCGTCATCGCGACCCCGCAGCTTGACCAAACTGGCTTCTGCTTCGTCGTATTTGCCTTTCAGCACAAGCAATCTGGGCGAAGCGGGAAGAAGGAATGACGCCCCGAAAGCTAGAAGGACTCCGGGGCCAATCTGAACACCCAGCGGAATCCTCCATGACGCCGAACCTGGGACTGGTGGAGAAATTGAGCATGGAGTCAAGCGAAACGACCACCACATACTATTTCGCGTAAAGAATCCGATCCAGAATCCGACAACGACCCCAAGGACAATCGAAAATTGTTCGAGCGCAATGAGCGAGCCGCGTACTTCGGGCGGACTGATTTCCGATATGTAAAGTGGTGAAAGCATGCTTAGAGCGCCCACACCAATGCCGCCAACAGCGCGACCGATGAAAAGGTCTGCGAGTGTTCGTGCGAATGTTTGGAAGAGCGCGCCGATGTTGAATATGACTAGCAATGATAGGGAGTTAGACGGATGGGGGTACTGTGGACATACCACAGGCTATGAAGATGGAATGTCGGCGGGAGTATCTGTCGGCCAAAACTCCGAACGTGAGAGCGCCAATAAGGGCACCAAGTTCAAGAACAGCAGCTGAAAACATTAAGGGCTGGTTATGAGCGAAAGGTAGAGCACACACTAAGTGCGCCTTTCTGCAGCGGTGTTATTGGCCATCGGCCCACAAAGTCCTCCATTACAAGTACATTGGCAATCTAGAGAGAAGAAGAGTTAGGAGATTTATATGAAGCAGAACGTTGGGACACACCACACCCTGGTCATACCCAAAGCTCAATCCGCCTATGGACGCGAAGACCGCACACAAGAACGCGTAGTAGTTGTGCCACAGTCCAGCCAGGCCGGGAGGGCCATAACTGTAAGTGTACGAGGAGTCTTCAGCGACTTTCAATCTGGAGTACGCGTTCGTTTGAAGGGAAGGGAGCAGGCGGCTATGTGCTGTGGTGTCCTCGTCGGATTCGCGGGGGGAGGAGAACGGGGTTGTCGTTGGGAAGGGGTGCATAGTTGCTTGGCTGGAAAGAGTCAATGTAGGTTGACATAACCGAGCTGTTGCTCACCATAGAGCTGGGATTATAAGATCGTAGCGTTGCTTAAGTGGTCGAGGAAACGGAACGGGTTGCTGGCCGCGGTATTACGAAGTACTGAGCACAAGGTTAGACAGGTTCATTGCGAATGAAGGGAGAGAGGGAGACACACGATAGGGAAGAGATATGTATAAGATAACGAGTCGTGAAAGCAGCAGGAAGACAGTGTATCGCGGTGTGACCAATTGTGACCGAGTATCAGCGGTTCTTTCCAAGTTCTTTCCTCCAGCCACGACACATATCCATCTCGACATTAAGATGGCCCAGATGCTCATAAATCCCTCGTTTCTCACTCACAATCACCCCCTGCTATTGCCTCACATGTCCGCTACCCGTCCGACTCTTTTCGCTTTGCTTTGCCCACTTGGCGTCGGTTGGCACTGAACCGCTGGTCCTTCCTCGGACTTCGAGCATAAAACGCGTATTGCAGGACCGGGAGGAGCTGGAACGAGGCTATTACCTGTGCAGGATATTGTTCGGTTGGCCACAAGGTGTGTAACTTTGGTCTCTCCCCCACTCATTTGCTAACTTTTCTGTAGCGGCAAGCTTTCTCAGATATGCCTCCAGACTCAAAAGCGAACTTAAGAAGACCTCTTTCCACAACATCGTCGCCACCATTGGCGATAAATTACTACGAGATGGCCCTTCCTCACCATTTCGCTGGCTTGCTGGTTGCTGCGTTGGAGCTCTACCCGTATCCGTTGTCGACGGGTTTTTGGTATGTTCTCCAGTCGCTGGCCGTATACACAGACTGACTGGTGACTCTCAGTTGATTTTCCGAGCCGGTACTGTTAACGACGACGGTTCGCGGGCGGAAATTCCTTCTTCGTGCTCACGACCATCCTCAACCTTAAGCCTAGTTCGCTAATGGCCAGACTGAGCCATACCTAGGTAACGAAGCCGATTAGTTAGCAAAGACAAGTTCTAATAAGTCATACAGTGTTTTCCTTCCGAATACCACCTTTCATGCGGCTTTCACTCGTCTGTGGGCAAATTTGTGCCCTGTCTGGTGCTGGACGTGCACCTTGAACGCGACAGCACCCCTCCCCCCGCGGTTAACCCCTCCGCTCCCACGCATTACCGTTTCCATCTGTTCACACTTTGGCATCGTGCTTTTCCGGTCTGCATTTCGATCGCTCGATGGACTGAACTATATCCGCGCATCGTCGTCTTTTTCGTATGATACCAACATCTCTTTTGGTCGTTTTTTCTGGTCGTCGGGATATCTTCTTAGCCACGTAAGCTCTCGTTTCCCACATACCCGCAGCGTCTAACAACGAATAGGGAGAGTTGCAAGCTCTTTATTTGTGGACGACGTTTCGCATGCGGAATCAAGTCTGACAACGGAAGCAAGCACATATTTGAAGCCGACTCAATTCTTCCCCTTTCTCGCACCTGCCTCTTCCCAACATCCTCTTCACACTTCCCAGTCACAACACAACGATGCTTTGTTTGATTTGCCTGTCGATGCAACTTGTTGGAGGTGAATAGCGCAAAACGTAGTTGTCGTCGTCCAGTGGCAGTGGTCGTGTGGATTATTGTAAATGTCATCCCATCACGCACCGACCTTTTTTGCGAACGACCAGCACCGTCTGCTCAAACTGATGCGAACTATGGTGGCGATGGACTTGGAGCTAAAGGACCACACCCTCGCGGGAGCGGCTAGCGCATGGCGAACATCTAGCCATGGGTTACTCTCTTGAAGGAAGGCAAATGGCGATTTGGGCCCTTGGTGTGTTGTCCTGGCTGTCTCTGAAGCTCAAGATCCTCATTCCGCGGCAAGGCTTACCTTCTGCTCCGCTTTCCCGTCGCGACCGTTACTTGAAGCATAGCTCTCGGAACATCCGTGCTGAAAACAGTGCGAAACCACTTTTTCGCGTCGAAAACCCTACCACGAAAGAGGCAGTCGATTTTGCAGCAACGCCATTATACCACTCCCACTGCCTTCCAGCCGCATTGCTTCTGGTCGTCTTGACGGAAACTTGAAGACAACCGCCTTTCAACAACATGGAATACTCTACCCATACCCGTTTCCAAACCCCCGCACTCCCGTTGTCGATACTGTCTATGTCTCCCCGGTTCTCCAGACTTGTTTCAAAACCAGCACCAAGAAAAGACAACGGCACTGCTAAAACCATCCCCATTCTCCGTATCGGACCCAAACTATCTCTGGAGTCATTTGGACTGTCCTTCGTCAACGCCAGCTATAGGCTCTGCTCCAAACAAAATCGCGAATTGGACCACTGGCGTCGAACTGAATCGCGGAAGTTATGCTGGATAGATTCAGGATGCTCCATGGTCACCCTATCTCATATATTATGGTCTTCCAATCCGGTGCAATAGCTATTCTGCTATGATACATGCATTTGAGCGTCCTTTTCCAGCATTTCCGAAGCTCGAACCAGAAGTCCTGCCACCAATACAATATTGTTGGCCGTCATTTACTCTCCTTCGACACGGCTCTTGCATTTTCACAGTCGTGCGACATCAGCTTGCGAAACCCATTGCATTTTGTGTGAAGCTTCCTGAGAAAAAGGTCACGTCTGTCACTGTCACGCCTTTTCTCCTCGATTTGGCGACTTTGCAACTCTATCCCTAGAGCGTTTTGTCCTTAACGCGCCATATATTCGTGTGCATTGGGATCCATCCTGTCCATGTAATTCTTTCCTCCCCGCAATATGACCTGGAAGGCACTTAGCGGACGTCATTTCGCCGACGATCCCCGTTCACGCTTCTTTGACCTTCGAGCTGCGATTCGAGCTCTTCGTGAGGGTGTCAACCTACTCTGTCTTACAGCATAACTCCTCAGTGCTATTCCCGCGTTTTTCACAAGCAGAGGGTCGAAGACGGGTCGCCGGACCGCCGGTCACCCATTGTCGACCGGGTCGGTTTTTTCATGGCTTTCATCGTATTTCCACGAACACGGGGAGCGTCAAATAGAGGCCTCCGTCGACGGATTTGGGTTGTTCTCGATATTGGGGTTCGAGGGAGGGGGGCCGAAGGAGACATTATCATGCATAACTTGGTGCCCAAATGATACTCTTCCACTGTGCGTGCGGTTTCATTTGCTTCCACTTGCGCTGACCTGGCTTTTCCGTATGTAGGATACAAATCATACGAATATTGACCAGCCCGTCGCCAACTTCGACATTCTTCTGCGACAGGGTCATTCTGGGAAACCTTCCCCAACATCCTGCATACGCAACCCCTCTTCTCGACTTCAAGGAATCCTTACTCTGCGATTTGGTCGGATTGGCGTCAACAGCCACAGAAGCCACTACAACACAAGATAGCACGTCATCATCATCCCACAATATTTCCCCCGCTCTCCCAAAAGCGTTCTGACTCCGTCTCAATGCACGATTTGCCTTTTCTGCGCCATATCACACTCTTCGCCGTCACGCCGTTTTGCATCGATTTGGGAACGTTACAACTCTACCCCAGGAGCGATTTGCCCTTGACCGACTGTATATCCGCGTCCATCCGCATAACATCCACCGATGTAAATCTTCTCCCCAAACGATATCATGAATATGACCCGGAAGGCAACATCTTTTACACAATCGCCTCTCCCTGTATTTGGAGCTTTTCGAGGACACGAAAATAACTTGCCAGTGACATTCTCACCATGCTTCGTATCGCCATTCTCAGAATTGGGTGTTAGGACGATACTCTTCCTCATGTCGTACGTGCCGTTTCATTCCACCCTCAAACGCGCTGACCTGTTTCCGCGTTCAGGATCCAAAACATACCATATCATTGGCCAGCGTCACCAACCACTTCTCTGTAATCTCATCGCGCCCCTCAACTGATGCTATCAATCCCCCAACTCTTCCTCTCGACTTCGTCTTGCTGTAAAGGAAAAGTGCAGCGTTCTTGAGGACTACGACTGCTTTGGTATTGGCGCCGATAGTTATCGAAAAACTATAACGACTCCCACAAAATCATTCGTCATATCAAGCACATATACATGCCTCTCTCAACTATCGAGAACAACCTTGCACCCGGGCTCTTTTTTTGAGGCATGTCACATGTGTCACGTCACGCTTTTCATCCTCGATTTGGCGACATTGCTACTCCTTCACCAACCCGATTGCGCCTTGAATAACGGTACCTCCGAGTGTCTCTGTATGCTCTACACATACCCAATTCTTTTCTCCGGCGCATACGACCGGGAAGGCACTCGTTGGAGACGTTTCTGCTCGCGATACTTGCCAGCTGTATCTCGGTAACGGGAGTTTTATGTGGCGACGCGGCTTTATCTCGTGCTGAATAGCAGCCCGCCGGGGCCACATCGACTGCTCCCCGAGTCGCAGCAGCCATAAAACTGGTGGTCGCTGCATTATTAGGTGCTTCTATCCTGCCATTATCATCCATCGACCGCACGCATTGATATATCGAAGTCTGGCTACCAGTACTGGGAATCCTTTCGATCAAATCCCATCCTCCCTTTTCGCATTTACCCTACCTATTTGCTTCTGCGAGTTTCTATGTTAATTATGTCCCAATATGCACCGTCAATGTCTCGGGCCCGGGTTGATCTCTGGATCGCCCTCGCTCTCCCATACTTCTTTAACTCGTACTTGACTGTATCTTGAATCATTGTACTGTTTCTTCACCTTACTTGACTTGTGGGCTATTTGTTACCTACAGCATGTGCTATACTTACTGACCACTTCAATTGCGAGCATTGCTACTGGCGAATGAGGCTTTTATAATTATTCTCGACGACATCCATGCCTTTCACGGCCTTGTTAATGACTACAGAGAGGAGAGTATGCTCCAGAGCTCCGGCACCAGGACCTGAAATCCAGTGCCTTGACAACGTCTTAATTCTGTTACCAAGTTCTCAAGTATCAACAATTACGGACTCTGAAGAGTCCCTCGGTATGATTGAAACGATAAACACAGTACTGGTAAACCGTGTAGAATTGTAAACAGACGGCAAAAGTGTCAATAAAGTATGTGCCTGGGACAGCAAAACGAATCCGGATACAGCGAGGACTATGGCACGACCTGGAGCCCTGCAACTGCGAGTCCGACATCGATGTTGGGCAACAACAAAGGGCGACCGCAATGCCATACTCCGGGAGACAGTCTTTTTAGAGCGTTTGCCCCATTATGGATGCAGCGACACAGCCACAGATGAGTTATGGGCCAAAACTGCGCGGAGCATCGAATCGAGAGTGCGAGCCGATGGAAAACATGGGGAGAGTTGGAGAAAAGGCTAGTGGAGTTGAGGCGACGAAAGCCAAATGGAATAGCATAACCATGTGTTCTCGGTCGCAACCTTCGCGTTGGCCATGTAAGGTATACTGAATGACGTTTCATTGGAAACCCAGTATCGGATATAAGCATTGGCGGGGGGAGGCATGGCGCATTGGAGGCAATGACAATAGGGGGGAGACCTGGGGCTTGAAGAGACTATTTGAGAGCAAGAACGTTGTCGGATAATATTGGTGGAGGGAGATAGACAAGCATCCCAGACGGAGGCAGCCTCTACATCGGGATTTGGAGCTTGTGCCGAGTAGGAGGCGGTGTCTTCCCGCGAATGGAGATATAACAATCGACTAACGAGTCGGAAGGATATGGATTGGTGGAATGGATATAGGGTAGGAAAATATGCGCTCGAATACAATTTTGACGTGATTCGGAGTCGGGAAAAGTATTTGCTGAGATTTCGAAGATGGGAAATTCAGAGCTGGGATGACTCGAAGTAGTTGAGCAACTTGAAGCGAGTAATAAATCGTCCCAAACACCGTATCTCGTGAAGATGCGCCGTATTAACGAGGACTGCCCACACGAACGCGAGAGCTTTGACCGCATATGAGGCAAAGAGCATGGTCAACGAGGTCGGGTCGATAGAAGCCTAAGTATGACGGGGCAGGAGACATTTCTCTGTGTTTGGCGGCACGATATAACACCAGCGAAAACGCGCCGAAAATTGCGAGGAGTAGATTCCGGACCCAACAGTGGGATGAATGGAGTCGCGAGGAAAGTGGGGTTGAGTTTTGGGGAAAGACTGCTTTCGCTGGTATAGCCTCTCCTCAGGTTGCAAAACAGCAAACGCAAGAACGAGCTTCAAGGACAATGTCGACATGACAATACGACCGCATGTACAGCGCTTAAAGCAGCACAAGTCGTGATTGCCGCCCCCGAGTTCCGCATTACATAGGGCAACAAGTATGTCTCCCGTAGGGTTTGTGCGCATCTTTTTGTGATTCCGTCAAACGCCTTCCGCTGACTCCCCGCTTGCGGTTTCGAGACGTGAAAGAGGAGGCGGAGCGGATTGTCCCGTTGAGAATGGAGGCAAGCACATGTGGCGAAGTGGGAAAGGAGAATGTGAATCGGGATGGGGATATGGCCACCGCAAGATATCTTTATAACGCGGTAGAGGTTTGAAAGGTCGCTTCATATATGCCGTCGTCTTGAGAGCCTGAAGGTAGGTAGGCCCAGCAATGATAAAAAGCCAACGGGAATCTAGAAATCAGTGAGCAAAAGACTGACAGCAAAAAGGGCGAATTTCGACGGACCACGATCCATCCATTCCCAAGAGAATTTCTCCTAAACCGTCTCGCTGCCTCTGTTGAGTCAACTTGAGTGGCTCGGGCTAGCGTCGGCTCGGACTAGCGTCCGGGTGGGACAAGCATCTCAGCTGGATAGAGGCTAGGCGAAAACGACATACCCAGGCTTGGTGTCGTTGTCCGTTGCCGCGAGAGCCATACATTTCCACGCGGGGAGACAACGCATGAGATGATATGTGGAGGAGTTTGAGACTGGAGATACGTCGTTTGGTCGGCAGCATGCGGATACTAGTACTTGTGGGCGAGCGCAAGATGGCGCAGCCGAGGCGCTCAGCAAAGGTTGTCGACCTCCTGGGGACTTGACAGCGCAAGAAGGACTTTGAAGGCGACTGGGGGATGGTCATTAGGACGGACAAGAAGAGCGCGGCGTATGTATACCCACTGGACAATGGGCTCGTATTCACGGGCATCTGGGTGCTTGGTCCAGTCGCTTGCAACCAAAGCAGTGGCAAAACGCTGCGCTTCCAAAAGTAGTGGTGCAAGATGGTGCACAGGGTTGGGGTAAAGAGGAGGCCATCGACATGGTGGTTATGGTGAGGATGGATTTTGATCACATGCGACCAGACTTTCGACATTGTCCGTCAGCTCGACGCGACGTCTTACAGACTGCGCCGGTACTCGTTCTCGTTCGAATTGCTGCATTTGCACACGCCAGGAGTTCCCTTCATCCATGACCTTCCCGCCAGCCGACAACCGCCGACACAAGCTTCGCCAGCTTGAACGTGTCTACCACAACACCCCCGATCCTTATGGTCTGCTTGCAGCCAAGATGGAATCGCTCCAATTGCGCATCCCACCCCAAGCGGTGCTCCCGCCGGAGCTCCTTGCGGACATCTTCAAACTCTGCACCGATTTCCCCGACCCAACAGCTCTCCCTCCCAAACAGGACGATCTCATTCTGACATTAACGCACGTCTGTGCCTCCTGGCGCCATATCGTCTTATCCCTCACCGAGCTCTGGTCTGCCATCGCAATTAACATCACCACAACTAGGTGTGACCTTATTGGCGAAGTCGCAACTCTTTCGCGCAGCTGGTTGTCGAGGGCTGGGAGCAATACCATTTCGCTGACGGTCGAATGCTCGAGAGAGCTCGCTGTCGCCGCTAATTCGGATCCCACTCTAATGTCGGCGCTATCTGCGTTGATGGACTGTGTCGTCCTACAAAACACGAGACGGACAAGATTCTTAGAGCTCCGCTTCCCCGAGCCGTGCGTTTCTACGCTATTCGATGTGCCAGAAGGCAGCTTTTCGGAGCTACAAAGCTTCGAGCTCAGTCCATACATCTTCATGCATGACATGGAAAATGAAAATGTCGATGCGAAATGGAAATGGCGAGGCTCTGCCCCCGGGTTTGCAAGCGCCAGTCGACTCTTTCATGCGGCATTCACTCCTGCTTGGCCGTCTCTGTCAGATCTCATGGACAATCTGGGCGAAGAGACAATAGGGCCGATCTTCAATGACAACGGCGGGGTGGGCAATGGGACTGCCAGTGCTTTTCGTGCGACAGATGTGGTCCTACCTTGGCGCAATCTTCGCAGCCTGGAGTTCATGTTTACAATGTGCCCTTTCGATATCTGGCTCAATGCCCTGTCGCAATGTCCCCTGCTCGAAAGATGCCTCATTGGCGTCAGCCCCGGCCCGCTTCCAGTATCCCCTATTCAAATCCGCCTCGAAAACCTGGACTATATATATATCATGTCCGCGGAGGGTGGCGGGGACATTCTGTTATCCTCCCTGGTTACGCCGAACCTGCGCTCCTGTAGCCTGCAGGGACACATCTCCGTGAGATCCTTATTTGACTTCCAGAGACGCTCGGGCTTCGAGCTCATCGTCCTTGTCACCCTCCTCAACATCCCCACCAACGATGTATACCCGCTGCTCGAGGCGTTCCCCACGCTCGTCTTCCTTGGGTTCGTTATGGCAACAACAGAACACTACCCCGAAGACGTCTGGTCCCGCATCGCGCGTCGCGAAGTCCTTCCAAATCTTCTGTACTTGATCATTACACCGCGGGTGTCGCAAATTTCAGCACTCGCTGACGCGATTGCCCAGAACTGGGAGTTGGCAGAGCAGGCGCCAGAGTCCGAGCGGTCACCCCTCAAAGTTTGGTTTTTAGCTGTCCCACCACGCGATGTGGCTCTCCTAAAGGAGGGGCTGGAGCCACTTGAGCGGTTTGCTGCATTGAACATGCAGGTCGAATTTAGGGATATTTAGTCAAGGTTCTTGGAGCTTATTTAAGTTGGCAGGCCAAGAACCGGTGGATCCCTGCCCTGTATCTCCACAGCAAGTATACTCATACAAAACATAGCCATAGTATCTATTTATCCAGCAAATAGCTGCAATCTTTATGTGTCTGGAGAACTTGAAACTCACGGGCGGTAAAAGAAAGCTCAACTTTAACCCTTTCTTTTCTTTGAAATGATACTAGTTAAATACTTACTAGTAAGTGTTACTGGTGGAATCTAAGAACAATGAACAATTCATCTGGATGCAAACAACTCTGTCAAGAACTAGGGAAAAAATAAACACTTCTGGCACCATAAAATATACATTGCTGAATTTTGTGGAATTCATGATACCATATTCTTTTTCGAGTTATAGTTAGTTAAACGGTTTGTGTTCGCCTATTATGATATTATTATGGCAAATGCATAACTACACCAAATGTAGAATAATAACATGATAATTAATAATATGATTCTCATAATAGAGATATTACTGCATATTATAATTGTATTGTGGTATATTTTCATAGATTATCTGGCTTCAACAAATTGATGTAATATACATATGACATAGATTTATTAGTGTCACTTACACGGCGGGCATTGGGAACAGGATGTCCAGTAAGTCACTTGGTGCACAGTCGCCACAGGTCCCTTGTCTGTCCCTTTGCCACAGTGGAAACCGGTGCTCGGGAGAGACCGGAAACACTAAGAGCGTCGTAAGGTGCGCCGAGAGACAACAGAACCCTTCTGTGGGTGATTCGGAATATGTACCGGTACAAGCGAGATAGTGTCCGAAGCAAAGAAAAGAAGTGATCTCATCAATCCCATCATCTCTTATGTAAGCCAGGCTTACACCCTCCCCCCCTCTTAAAACAAGCTCCCCCTCTAACCAACTGCGGGCACTTCACATACGATCGTCGTAGGATCGGTTATGCGGCAGACGTGGCTGTCCTCCCATTCGCTCCACGTGGTCGCAAAGGCAGGTCCCTCGGTGGCATTAACTTCTTCGCTCGGGGTTTCCTAGACGGGCCGACAATTGGTGCCTCTAGCGTTGCCATGTCGATAGTAGCCGAAGGAGGTGTTTGGTCGTCTTGATTAGCCGCCAGAAAGTTCGATGTGATGTCGTCCTGGTTTTCGCCCTTTTCGAAAGCTGCCACATGGTCGGAGTCCTCGAGCTCCAGGGCATCCACCCAAGAGTCATGTTCCCGACCATAGCCGTGCCATCTTACCTTGTACTGTACTCTTCAGTAGCGCGTGCGTTTTTCTAAGATTTTGCCCACGTAGTATTCCTCTACACCGTCATCATAGGTGATTGGCCCAGGCTCGATCATTTCACGGCCCGGGAAGAGTACTGCGTCATTCTCTACAAAAGGTTTCAGTTGCGAGGAGTGTATTACTGGATGCAATTTCGAGTCCGAAGGCAGTTCCACTGTCACTGTCGAAGCCTCTGTGTGGACATCCGTGATCTTGAATGGCCCATCAGATCGCACCATGAATTTTGCCACACGGCCATTGCCAGTCCCCAGGAAGTGTTTTCGTCGCTTAGCGGTATCAATCAGCACACGTTGGCCAATCTGATAGTCTGGGTCCGGGAGACGTCCCTTGTTAGCCTGTTCGACCTGCTGTGACTTTGCCAGTATCAAATTATCCTTTGCCTGTAGTTCATTGAGTGCCATATTCTTCATGAAGTTCTCAGCATCAAAGGCCTCCTTAGAGTCAGAGATCCTCTCGTGTGTGCCCAGGGGTGGTATGATCCGTGCCGGTCTGCCGAACCTTAACTCAAAAGGTGTGAAGCCCGTTGAGGCATTAAGCGAATTCATGATGTGAAATCGAACCTGCGGTAGAGCCTTAGCCCATCCGTGCTGGTTCGCGTCAACATAGTATCGGAGGCATTGAATAACAGTCTTGTTAGTACGTTCACTAGAACCATCTGTTTCTGGATGATATGCTGTGGACATCTTCAACTTCACCCCTGTCAAGTGACATAAGGTATCCCAAAATTTCGAGACGAATAGTCGGTCCCGGTCACATACAATATTTAAGGGCAAGCCATTTTCACAATACCAGCTATTAAAGAAGAGGGTCGCAAAATCCTCCGCGACTATGTCTGTGCGAGTTGGGCATATACGTATGTCTGAACCCAGCCGATCTGTCATAGTGGCAATGGCATTAAAGCCCCCATCTTCAGGCAGTGGGCCCACAAAGTCAATTGCCACCGAGTCACAACGTCTATCCGGGACAGGCAGTGGATGTAAGGGGCCAGCTTTACGTTTAGTTGACGACTTGTTGCGCTGACAATCGGCACAACCTGGTATGTAGGCTGACTCCAGATCCTCCCTCATACGAGGCCAGTAGTACGAGCCACGCAATGTTGCATAACACTTATCAAAACCAAAGTGGCCCATAGCGTCATGTGCCAAATGATAGAGGGTCTCTTGTAGGTTGTTAGCTCGAGGAATGGCTAATCGATCTCCGATAAACAGGAGACCATTCTCCTCTCTCAAGCCAGGAAGCGAGCCAATCTTGCTTCGCAATTTCTTTGTCCAATCATCCTGATCATAACCAGATCGAATAGAATCCAGCAGCGAGTCATCCGTTGTTATTTCTAGAATTGCTCCAACCTCGGGTGTGTGTTCCAGTCCACGAATCCTAGTTGCAGAGATGGACTGGCAAGCGAGTAAGACTGGGAATACTGCTGCAATCACATGATCTCGATCTTTAAGAGGTAAATGTTCAAAGTTCTCTGGAAGTCGATCTGAAAACTCAGTGCGTGACAGGGCATCAGCGCCCGTGTTCTTTTCACCAGGAACATATGTGATCTGGATTTCGAATTGTGACATGAATTCCATCCAACGTGCTTGTCTCCGCGAAAGGTCGCGTTGCGTTGTAAAATTCTCCAAGGTCCTGTGGTCTGTATAAACCTCCACAGGGACGCCGATAAGGTCTGTCCGCCATCTCTTGAATGCACGAATAATGGCAAGGAGTTCCTTTTCATGTACAGGGTAGTTCAATTCGGCACCTTTAAGGGTCATCGAGTCAAAGGCCACAGGCCTTGCTGTCTCCCAAGAAGGACCGTACGAAAGGATGCCGCCGGTGCGAGTGTCGCTTGCATCAGTTGTCACGAATATCTTGTTGTCCCCCATATTCTGGTGGTCAATTGTAGTCAAACAATCTGCTCCCAGAACGAGTCGCTTTATAGCATCAAAGGCAGCCTGGTGATGTTCTTGCCAACCAGGCCACTCCAAATCAGCAGATTTGTGAGTCAACTTTGTCAGGACCTCTGTGTGTTTGGCCAGATTTGGTAGGAACTGAGCCACAAAGCGAACCACTCCCAAAAAGGCCCGCACATTTGTAGAAGACTTGGGAACCGGCCAGTTAGCTATACGTGCCACCTTGGATTTGTCTGGCTCTATACCCTTCTGTGAAATATGATGGCCCAGAAAGTCTATTTCATAGCAAAATAACTGAGTTTTCTTCTCGTTGCAGTAAAGAGAGGCCTTCCGTAAGGCATCAAATACTAGGCGTATGTGTTTTTCATGATCATCTTCATTCTGAGACCAGATGATCACATCATCGATATAGACGTGGCAGAAAATTCCGATATATTCACGTAATGCAGCTGTGACGCGACGTTGTTGGACTGAAGGGGCATTGCGTAATCCCTGAGGCATCACCAGCCATTCGTATAGTCCCAAAGGTGTTGACACCGCCGTGTATTTCACAGAATCTGGGTGCATCCGTGTTTGAAAAAATGAATCTGTAAAATCAATCTTTGACCAAATTTTTCCCTTTGCACAATCATTCAGAATATCATCGACTCGTGGCAGAGGAAAGGAGTCTGTAACTGTGTTCGAATTTATAATACGGAAATCATTTACCCAACGAGGTAATGCTGTAGTATCTGATTTAGGGATCAACATAGCAGGTGAAGCAAATGAGGAATTTGAAGGTCTAATCCTGCCAGCATCCAAATGTTTCTTGATTAATATTCCCCAAGCCTCCTTGTACTTCCGAGGGCTTGGGTAAGTTCTCTTGGTTAACATTTGGGAAGCATCTTTGGTTGTAATTTCACAAAAGACATCGCGTGGTAAATCATCAACATGTGGTATGGGTTCGAAAATTTTTCGAAAGTCATTTTTGATGGACTCGCCACGTAGCTTCAATCTTTCCCATTCGGCTAATATTGTGATGCGTTCCTGTACTGCTGCCACGATGTTGACTGGTCTGACTTCTTCAAAAAGTCCTCTAGCTTCCATATCCACTCTGCGTGCGATGCAAACGCCATGCAATTCTGCTGCAAGCTGTTTACGATTCCGTTTAACTTCATTAAACAGTTCCTTGAGTTTCTTTTTCGGTTTGATTTTTCTAGGTACCACAGAGTTCAGCAAGTCAAGTCCACAGGATTTATCTATTGCAGTACGATTTTCATGATCTATTACAATGTGGTTACGCGCGAGGAAGGGGAGTCCAAGTATGATATCTTTACAAAGGTTCGGAACAATGAGGAGGCGAGTTGAACGGGAAGAGTATGAGGAGTCCAACGAGTGTAAACGAATTTTAATATAATGCGAAGCGAGGTGTTCGTCGTGGTTCATGGCTAAGCCAAAGGAAACTGGCCTTGATAATTTGTATGTGGGGAGACCGAGTCGTAAAGCGAAATCTGCGTTGATCATGTCTAAACCTGAACCATTGTCAAGCAGTGCATCAACAATAACAGGGAATTCAAACTTTGGGGCGTCGATTACACCACTCCAGATGAGCGGATCCCGGCCCACGCGACTGGAGTCTCGGGAGCTGAGATTCGGCGTGGCGGGGCGCGAGGCGTCGGACGCTGGTAAGCTATCGTCAGCCTCGGTAATCGTAGCGGCCGCCAAAGGAAGTGGGAGTGTGGGGAGGAGACTCACCGAGCGTGTGGCGAGATCATCCTCCGAATCTGAGGAGTCGTTTGGGTCCTCCATCGAACGAGCAGGGATGTGGGCCGCGCGC